TAAAAACACAGTCACTTCCAACCCTTACAAATGTAGTACGCAAAGACAAGGACAGAACTGGTCAAACGGTCTGGAAGTAGGACTTTCTCTAGTTCTATGACCTTGTCCCAAGCCAGATGCAAGTGCAATCAGAGGGTCGTATGAAATGATTGCGTGATGACAAAAATCGAGTCTAGTCTTTTCAGTGGATGTGAGGAAGGGTGGCTGAGAAGGGAGCTGATTCACAGGCCAAGTCCACTGGGAACCTGTGAGAGCCCCCAGTGAGCTGAGGCAGAGCAAGCTGTGACTCCAGGGCCCTCGGGGAAGGAAGGACACTGGGGAATATTCTCCCTGAATAGAATCTAGTCTCAGTCATGTCACTAAGTAGCAGTGGCCACGAGCAGGTCACTTAACCTTTCTGAGATTCCGATTGCTCCTCTGTAAAAGGTGGGGAGGTTACACTAAGTCAGGGTTGTCAGTGGGTGGCACCTACTTCCTCACCTCCCCCGTGCCTTCGGGGAGGTGCCGCTCCAGCACATCCTAGTGTAGGCATTTTTCTCCAGCATGCTAGGCAGGCATTGCCCAGTGAGAGTCAGTACACAAGCTGAAATCTGCTTATCCTCCCTCCTTCTGATGATCCCTGAAGTCCCTTCTAAACGGGAGGTTCCAACTTTCCAAGTAAGAGAGGACTATTTTACTGATTTAGTAATAGCTCACTCAAAAACAAAAAAAAAGAACATGGAAATTTAGGATCATAATTTCACACACTCTACATCCCCACCTGTGGCCCTAGCAGGGTTTTCTCAGGTTCACGCTGTCCTTCATTGTGCCAGAGACTTTTGGGTCTGAGCTTCACCCTTTGTCAGCTCACCCAGCATGGCAGTATCCCAGACTGTAGCTCCGTTTTATCTAAAATAGCCCATGAGCATCAAAGGATCTACAGGGAAAGGAATGATCTTAGGTCACTAAAAATGGAAGAGTCCATAAAACAGATAAACAACAAGGACCTACGGTGTAGCACAGGGAACTATACTCAACACCTTGTAATAATATATATAGTGGGAAAGAATCAGTAAAGAAAAAATATACATGTATGTTATGTGTATAACTGAATCACTTTGGTACACCTGAAACTAATTTTGTAAATGAACTACACTTCAATGCAAAATTCAAAAAGCAATAAAAAAAAAAAAAGCCCAAGAGTCAGAAGAGGTGGCATTTAAGGACTCCATTCGCCTCTCACCAAAGCTACTGAGAGTCACAGTTCTCAGCCCTGGCAGGAAGTGATCACACATACAGTTAGTTCCCAGATGGGGACCACACC